TCTTGGATTGGTTTAAAATTCTTGTAGATGAACCTTCTCTTTCAGCTCTGCCCTAGCTCATGGTGTCTCTGAAACATTTGCATTTGTCCAAGCAGCTTTCTTGCTTCTTAGTGACACCCAGTAGTTGAGGGCAGGCCGAGACCTGTCAGTGTCCCAAAGGGGCGGATCTCAGCCAGCAGCTTTTAAAGTGTGCAGATCTACCGTGTTCAGGGCAAGACTAGGAGGTGGTGTCTGCTCCCTGGGCTCTGAGCCCTAAGGGACATCCATTTCCTTTTTTTGTTTGCTTGTTACCATCCCACTGAACCTGTGAACACCAGCCCTCCTGGCTACCGAAGCCGGATGATTGAGCTCGTGTCTCCTGGTGGCAGCCACGAAAACCAGAGCATCAGACGTGTGGACATTCTCCTTTCCAAGAGATCCCATGTGACCCGGAGGGAGGAGGCGAGAGGGCAGGAAGATGGCAGCCGCCATAGTCTCTGGACAGTATTTCAGGTGGCCCCTATGTGTGTTATTAAGTTAGAAGCCTACACATCAGGCTGAAGCTTTTATGATAAAGAGGCCTCTTGGAAGACAGCATGGGTGTATTTTACTCTGCTGCCCCTGAGCTGAGCCCTGGGGGGTTAGCCATGGTGAGGCCGTGTGAGCCCATTAAGTACTATCTCTTAGTTCACTACAACCTCGTGGCTACATTGGATTGAAAGCTGTATGTTTTGGGGGCCCATCTCAGGCAGAAATCTTGAAAGCTGGGGCATCAGATGCAGGGTTCAAAGCTCTCTTCAGGAAGAAGCTCAAAGTTGTGAGTTCCTTTCTGGTTGTATGTTGCCACACCGGGGCTGGAGTTGATGATGGCACTGTGTTGTGTCTCAGCCTCTCCTACCAGTTTCAGTGTGGGGTGGGTGTTGTTCCCCGCCCCTTTGCCTCATCTGTGTAGAAGTCCCTGGTATGTGCTGGGTTTCTTTCAGAGGGAATCATCCTGGATGCAGCTACAGATTCGGGGTGTGTGTGGGAGGAGGCAATTTCAGGACTCTTCTATTACCATCTTTAACCTGTTAAGTGTGTGGATTATTTCTATGTCTACACAAAGATGTGTTGTGCCTGCTTTCATGAAACAAGTGTTTCTTTTGCATAGACGGGGCTCAAGCTGTAGGTCCGAGAAAGCAGCAGAATAGATGATAAGAGATGATGCGTGATGAGCTTCCCTGAAACGACGGAGAAGGGATGGCATTATTTTGGGTTAAGGAAATGTTGTGCACAGGCTCAAGGGGACTGGTGCCACAGCAGGCTCCAGGTGGAGAACACGGGCTCTAGTGGCCACGACAAAGGGATGGTGTTTGAAGGTAGCACACATCTGGGCCGAGGAGGAAGGTGGAGTCTGCTGTATCACATGATGAGGGATAAATCTTGACAGGAGCAGCTCACATGAACAGTGGTGCTCTTTTTATGAGAATCGGACCAACCTTGATGATTGGTGGGTGGTAGTGGGGCTTGGCTAGGGAAGGTAGGAAACGGTTGATTTTGGAGGTGATGAACATATTTAGGACCTTGTTTGTGGTTATGATATCATGGGTGATGCATATGTCGAAACTAATTCAGACCTATACATGTGTGCATTTTTTAGTATAACAATTTGAAAAAAAAATAAAAGAAAGTAGATAAAGAAGAAAGGAACCCTGGGGAAGTGTTCTAGATCATAAGTGATTAGAACAAAATGACAACTAAATGCACATGTGACCCTTTACTGGATGCTGAATGAAAAAAAATAGCAAGCTATAAAGATTATTAGTGGCAGAACTGGGGATATTTCAACTATGTATATTACTGTATGTATAATCAACTATGTATATTACTGTATGTATAAATATGTCAATACAGATACATAAAGCAAACCTGGCAAAGTGTTCAGTTAACTCCAATTCTGCCATACTCTGAAATTATTCTACATAGGAAGCTAGGGAACCTCTTGACAGCTGTTAAGATGATGAAAAAGGAGGTAGGGGACGTGAGCCATCAGGAGTTGTTACTAAGGCATAGACCCCTGTATATGTAGCTCACGAAAGCAGATAGACTTTGTTAATTTGTTTTTTCCAATACGGTGTAAGCTGCATGATGTTGTCCCAGTACAAAAAGGTGTAGTGAGCCACATATGGTATGCAGAGACTTACAGTGCTAAGTATTTGGTGGTTTGAGGAAGCACTCTAACTCATGAGGCCACCTGGTATGATGTCACCCACACTTGAGGAAGTACGTGGGAGAGTATCTTTGCAGTATGGGTCTGTAAATCCTGGCCTGCTCACAGCTCAGACAGTCAAAGCACAAGGAATCATGCTGCACTCACTTAAATCCCTATGTACATCCTTCAAGAAGACAGTTGAGGTTTTCTTTTCCTTAAATGCAGCTGACTTACAGAGTTGGAAAAACACCACCACAGCCAATCCACTTTATACCAGCCAGTTAGCCTAACTCACCCACATACAGCACCTCTGCCCCAACCCTCTCTGCTCTATAAATCATCAGGACCACAACCTGATGTGTACTAATAAATTCGGGTGCTTTCTGGACACTTCCTCTTTGCCAGTGTTGACAGGCCTAAATAATTAATGCTTTTAAGCACCCAGGGCTCTGAATCTCACTTGTTAAAAATATACAACTCAGTTTCACACGCTTTGCTTATGACTTCAAAGGGAGGGCAAATCCTGCAGCGGGGAAGTAACAAGAAAGGCACACAACCTCCATTGTTTTGGGAGTTTATAGGCTTTTCAAAGGTGTATGTTTGTTCATATGCTGAACTATCACTTTCAGTCATAACAGGCCATCAGTTGCATTCAGATCTCACGGGGACAAAGGGAATCTGATGCGGACACTGCCCTAAATCACTGAGGTGTAACCAAGCCAGGAAAACCACTTCACACATTCTCTTCCTTCACAAAAGACCAGAAACTGGGCTTTCCTGCAAGATTTGACTTTTCTGGAGGAACATAGGACTTTGCCCACTGCTTGAGGTTCTTAAAGTTCATCCGATTTGCTTCATTGGCCCTCTTTCACTCTTCATTTCCTCCATTCCTTAGAACCTCACTACCATCTGATGAGCTCAGCAACCTGGGTCTCCTCAACCCCACGCAAAGCAGCCTTCAAAGGTCTCCAAGTAGCAGCAGCTCACCACCAGGCGAGGTCTTACACTTCGGCATCGCCTGAAAGCGTTTTATCATGTCCAACTTTCAAATTTTCTGGACCATGGTCCCTTACCACCACAGAACTCAGTCACATTCCTTCCTTTTTGTCCCGCTCATTTTGGTTGGGCACTTGGCCTCTGTATGCTATGATCATGGAACATCTTAAGTATAAAATGAATTTGACAACGCACTAGGATCCCAGAGCTTTAAGTGTGAGGGATCAAGGAGCCACAGGTAAGATCAAGAGGGTCAAGTATAACCAGGTTAGACCCAGGAAAAGGAAACCTCAAACATGGGAGCTGCCTCATGCTGGGCCTTGAGAGAGGAGGGGGACAGAGCAAGTGCTTGTGGCCTTCATACCCCCCCCCCCCCCAATGTCTAGCATGGCAGAAAAAACCAATAAGCAGCAGGCTGATGACAGTCTAGCATCATTTCTGCCTCATACCCTCCAGTTTTCTTAGAACCCAGTCTGAGGCACAGAATACTGCTGAAGAGCACTAGACTCTTCCCTCAACAGATTCACCTTTTACTTCCGTCCTTCTTGTTCCTTAGTAATGTTCCACAAGCATCTTCACCTTGCTCAGGCCTCCATCATCTTCAAAATGACCTTGTCTTTTATTTCCCTGAAGACACACCGCATTGCACCTGCTGCCCCTCCCCCCTGCTTCCCACTCCTGCGCTGCGCTGTCACCCAAATGGAGGTCTGCCTCAGGACGCCAGCTCCAAGCACCTTCGGGCCCACTTTCTCAGCTCCCGCCCCGCAGCGATCATTTCGGTGGAGCGCACCATCAGATCCCCCAGTCTGCCCCTTTAACACCAGTTACAGACCTGTGCTTCAACCCCTTTCCGCACGGGACCTAGGCGTGCCAGTTTCGCAAACACAGCGTGTCCCCAGGCAAAAGGATCACGATCTTCTTCCAACCAAATGCCTTCCTCTCGTTTCCCAGTCAGGCCTGAAGCCCCAGGCGCCACAGTTGCCAATCCCACCCTGCCAGTCCTGTCCTCCTACCCATCTCTGCTCTCTCTCACGCCTAGACTCTGAACTCCCATAACCTGGCCTTTTGTGTTTCCCTCTGAGACAGATGCAGCTCCAAGAATATAGCTTTTGAGCCGTTTCGTACCTGGTAAGCCCCCCCACACTGACTAACGTGAGTCCAACACCTTTGCCCCACACTCCTGTCACAGAACTGTGATCCCAGCCTGCCACTGCAACGTTATCTCCTGCCCTTCTGCTTGGGCCCGATTTTTCTACAGCAGTGGACTCTGGGGTCTTTTGTGGCCTTGGCCCAAGGTCTTCATCTTCACTTAACATTATTCCTTCTTCAAAGAGTGCTCGGTTCCTACTTTACTCTTCAAAACTGTTCACAGATACTAATTCATGGTAAAGCCTTTTCTGTTCTCCAAAACGAATGAAACTTACCTCCTATACTGTCTTGTTCCTTTTTTTTTTTTTTTTAAGATTTAGAAAGGGGGAGAGAGGGGCAGAGGGAGGGAGAGGGAATCTCATGCAGGCACTAGGCTCATTACAGAACCCGACGCAGGGCTCGATCCCATGACTGTGGGATCATGACCTGAGCCAAAACCAAGAGTCTGATGCTCAATCAACTGGGCCACCCAGGCGCCCCTACATGACCTTGTTCTGAGTAATGGACAGAATGGCTGACCCGTTGAGGGGACTTGGACTATGTGACTCATCTCTGTACCTAAGACATTTATGATGGTACCGTGTACACAGTGGACATTAGGTGATTTAGCTGATGACCTGAGCAGACAGGTCACCATCTCCAGCCCTGAAAACAAGCTCCAGGAGTAGCTAAGACAGACACTTACCCATGGATTCTGAAGTCTGACTGCCAACCACCCGGAGCAGCATGGGCTGACTGCTGTCTGACCTCTGAAGAGAGGTAGAAGGAGAAGACACCGTTGTACCATTCACCTTGGCCTCGGCCTGGGGCTGCGGTATCCAACAGAAAACAGAATTAGTTTTCATGATAAACACTCAAATGTATACATTTAAAATGACTGTACATAGGACTCAGAAATTATGACCTTTTTTACTTAGAAACTTCCCAAATTTGGCCGTTGATAAGCTGCACAGATAGTGTCTTTGTATCTGAATTGTACCCCCTTATACATTTGAAAATGAACGACAGCTCCTTGGGAACAAGATCTATAAAATCATGAGACCCAGTAACTGGAGGACTTAGAAGGTGATGTGACAATGGGGAAACCATGTGAGACCACAAAGATGTAGTGGAGAATGCATAGTTTTGTGCAGTATTTGGAGAGAACACATCTCAAACTTCAAAATTCCCACAAAGCCCAGAACCCGTGCAGGTAGGGCCTACCACAGTGCACTGTCTTGCTAGGTTTTCAATGGAGGTTTCCAAAATGAGGCTGTAAGAACTAGCAACAGGGGTCCCCGGGTGGTTCAGTTAAGCGTCTGACTTCGGCTCAGGCCATGATCTAGTGGTTCGGGAGTTCGAGCCCCGCATTGAGCCCTGTGCTGACATCTCGGAGCCTGCTTCACATTCTGTGTCTCCCTCTCTCTCGGCCTCTCCCCCACTCAAGCTCTGTCTCTCTCAAAAAGAAACAAATCGAAAGCTACACGGGAAAATAAGACAATCCAAAGAAAGGAGCCCCATTTCGAGAGGGCACGGTTTCCATTCACTTTTAGGAGACCGGTGGAAACCTTCCAGTACTTTTTCCCGAGCTCAATTTTAAGTCGCTCAAAGAAACAAATTCCGTAGGAAACCACCTTGGACACCTATACATAGACAGAGTGGTTTCCCTCCTCTTCTGGTAGCCCTCATTAGGCAGCACTTTGCCAGGCACCTACGAAGTACTCAACCAATCGCTACTTCTGGCAGTTCTACAAAGGACGGCGTGTCCCAGTTGCTGGTGTGGTGGACGCGAGAAGGCGGACTTTGTGGAGCCGCGGGCCTCACCTGCTCCAGCAGCTGCCTGAGCCGGTGCAACTGCGACTCCAGCTGCTTGTTGTGGTCTTCCAGGATCTGCATCCGGGCCTCCAGGCGGCCTTTGTGCTGACGCAGTAGCTTGGCCTCGGCAATGAGCTCGGCGTCCCGGGGACTTTGTGGAGAGGTGGGCATCATTTCAGGAGGGGACGGCAGTGGGGACAGGCCTTTATGCTCATGCTGCTGCTTGAGACGGTCATACTCTGCTTGCAGGTTTCTGTTGGCATCAGAAAAGTGAAAAAAGAAAACAAGAAACAGCAAGTTGCAAATCGTCTTCCAAATTCAGACAAAATGGCAGAGAGCTACATCTGACCGCCACCAAACACAACAGCAAGCAAAAGAGAGGTACTTAATGAATGGTTTTTATGAGGACGATCAAACAAAATAAAATCGGAAGCTTCCGCCCGGTGTGTGAGGGAGAGGCTTTTCAACTTTTTATTTTATACTAAAGGCCTTCTAAGTGCCACATTCACATGAATAAGCAGCAATGGATTTAGTCATTTTACACCCATTTCCTCCTAATGCCATGAGATTACAATTTTTATACCTCTATCAACACTTTTATTTTTTTAAAGCAAACATTTTCAGCAGCAACGTGTAACAGCATAGTGAGAGCGTAACCATGATTCCATCACACTGTTTTAATAAATAAATTCAACATTCGCCATATTTTCTTCAAAGGTTTTTTGAAGAAATAAAGCCGCAGCTTTCCTCTCTTCAATATCGAATCTCAGCCCCTCCTCCCCACTGGTTCCCAAGAGATAATGCCATCCCGAATTACAGGTCTATCATTACCATGAATGTATCCACAAATCTTAGGTTGAACTTGGCAAAGATGTTGGTATCTGGCTGCTATTCTTTATCTACAAAAATGGCCATTTCATGGGATGCAATCTAACAGCATTATTTTGCCATGTTCTTAGACTTTAAGAACATTATGTTTAAGAAGGTACATACCATTCTAAGAGTTGCATTTTGCCTTCAACACGTTTTGGAGATTTATCCATGTTGATACATAATAGTTGGTGGTTTTAATTGCTGTAAGGTATTATTCTCCTGCTTGAGTAGGTCAACAACATTATCCCGTCAATGGATATTTAAGTTGTTTCCAACCTTCACTCTTACAAACAGAGATGCAATTAACTCCTTTCTGTCTCTTTGGATACCTGTTGAACTTGTTCATGGCAGCCTGTAGTACACAGATTTTAAACTTCAATATATTCCTCTATGGGTTCTGCTCTTCTGCTTTAAGAAAATCTTCCCTACACCTACAGGGTAAAGTTAAAAATTCGGGGGTTTTCTCACACTGAGAACTTTACCAGCCTCTCTCGGGGCTGGCCTAAAGACATGATCTAATTTTACTCCCCATCTCATAGAGAAGTTAAGCCAGCCCCTTTCACTGTCAGGTCCATCTTTTCGTCACTGGTTTCTAATGGCAGCTCTGCAGTCCATCAAGCACCCATAAATACACAAGTGTGCTCCTGAGCTCTGTTCTACTGGTTTCTTTTTATGTTCCCATGCAGACTGCACACTGCAACTTTAAATAAATGAATGTCTGGTAGGCCCGCCTACTCTGTCCTGCCTTAAAAGGGTCTTGGCTCTTCTTGTTGAAATTTGGGGTTTGAATTACATTGGGTGTATAGAGATTCAGCAGAGAAGAAGTCACTTCGTGTTACTGAATCTTCACATCCAAGAATGTGGTGAGTCTCTGTACTCCATTCTTATTTTACATACATTAATGATAATCTGTCATTCACTGTGCTTTTTGTCCTTGAGCTCTTCAGCTTGAATGCTGAAACCAGTTTTGTTTTTTAATAAATACATCTGAGACTGTAGATTTCCTGCTTGCTTTAGAAATGCCAAGACTACATTTCCAAATGAGGACACTTATACGACTGCCTACCGTGTGACTAGTTACGGTGAATACCCAAATAAGATGAAGGGTCATCTGTGAACAACGGGTGTCTGTCCTCAGTTGGGAGAACTTCTTATCCACACATGTGGGAGGTCTAGATCTCTGAGAAAAGCCCTGAGATACAATCAGTTTTCCCCCTGTCCAGTTCGAGGAAGTAAGATAATCGCGCCACCGGGTTTCTAGGCGAGGAAAGAGTTCTTGTGGTTCTGTAGCTGGAATAACTCGATGGCATGTTCTCCAAAAGGCCGCCTCTCCACATCGAAGACGTAAAATCCATTCCATTCTCTCTCTCTCTGTAAAGCTCTCTCCCGGACCTAGTTTTACAAGGGTTCTGGAAATTGTGGCAAGTCATGTGGGAAATCAATACATGATCTTTGTAATCTACAGGAAGATCATCTCTGGTATGTTTTGACTGAAATCCTATCTATACCTATGTGCTATCAGGAAACAGCAAGGAAAGCTGTGTGTGCACTTTGCTTCACGGCGCAAAGTTATAATAAGACAACTTCTCAAAACAAGTTTACCCTGAGCCAGGCTCTGTGCATCAGTCCTCTAGGTGGGAACCGAGGTATGGAGTTGCTGACATTAATTAGATGCAGTTCTTGACTACTCAACTGACAATCATCTGAACGTTTGCGTGAACCTGCAGCCGCATCCAGTGTTGACAGGGTTTCATTTGTTAGGAATTACCTTTTCTCCCCCTTGCAGTTTTCCACTACAGGAAATCCAACATTGCTGAAAAGTCCCAACTCATCCCACCTTTTAACGTCAAATCTCCTTCAAGATTCTTCTTAAAAGCACTAGTTTTAGAGGCAGAGCTGAGGACAGTATAGCAAACGATGGCCATCTTCTTACCTACTTTTCTGTGACGAGAGAGGTCTTCCTTGGTATCTTGATCTTCTGGATCTAGCTGTCCAAGGAGCTGTCTTTTTACGAGTTCTTTTTAAGTGCCTTTGTTCAGAAAACATGGCTTGGTAATACAACATATTACACTTCTGTTTTTGTGTTTTCCAGTGAAAGCCAAAAAAGGCTCATTTGAATCTGCCAGGACTTCCCAAAGCTGGGCTGTAAAGAATACCAATTGCTCTACAGAGGCCCTTTCCTTGCCTTCCCAGATGTTAGAAATTTTGCTCAGGGGACCATTTCCTTAAAGACTCCTATCCTTCTTCAGCTCTGGAAGATTCTCTGCTATTGTGACTTCAAATACTGCTTCTCTGCCGTTTCCTCCATGTTATTCTGAAGTACATGCTAGATATATTTTGGAGCCTTGTGGTAAATTCTCCCTCTCTCTTAATGGCTCATGTATATTTCTTTTAATGCTCTTGTCTTCTCTGATGGGGGTAAAGTCTAGAATGTGTCCTACTTTTAAAAATTAAGTTTATTTATTTTGAGAGAGAGAGAGGGCAAGAATCCCAAGCAGCCTCTGCGCTGTTGGCACAGAGCTAGACATGGAGCTCAATCTCATGAACCATGAGATCATGACCTGAGCCCAGATCAAGAGTCAGGCTTAACCAACTGATCCAGCCAGGGGTCCCTAGGATTTGTCCTATCGAGTTTAGTAATTTCAATGACCATAGTTTGCATTTCCAAGGAGGTCTTTTGCAATGTCTTTTACTAGGCAAGGATTAAATGAGCCACACAAGTGCCCTTCTCCTGAACAAACAGGTGACATACATAAATCTTCTACTAAGCTCAATAACAAACGTGATTTCAAGGGACTAGTTTTTACTCCTAAAGGTTCAAAAATAGCTCAAAAGAGGGATCTTGGCCAGAAACCAAGTAAAATACCAAGTATTTGAAAAACTGATGTTTGAGGTGTTGAATTAAGAGAGAACTTTTCCTAATTCATGTCATGGTTGCAGGGGTATCAGGGCATACTTTTGCTAGAGGCTGGGAAGGAGTTATTTTCTTATACTGAAGAGCATCTATGCCAATGCCTTTGAAAGTTCACCATCATGCTAGGTTTTGGGGACACATTATTTATAAAGCAGGTAGGGGGACATCACCCCCATACAAGACCAATGGAATACTCACTGAGTTCCAAGGTGAGTTGTTTTAAAGCTTAACCACCAATACACAGTTTACTCATTTTAGCAGTTGGCTGTTGATTTATATATTGGTAACAATACATACTGTGCTTTTCTTGAAGTTATGCATGTACATCTCACCCCAATTAATTCTCTCATTAGAATGTATTTATGATGTCATTTCAATAGAGATGAATATATGTCTGCAATCAGACAACGACCCCACAGAGAATCTATTTACATTCTTGATTATCTTGTAAATTATATTTCTCTGGTAACTCTCAAATTAAAATTCACTGCACATGGCTTTTGTCACCACAATTTCTTCCAGCAGCCAGTCATCCTACTCTCCATACAGGTTTAAAAATGCCCTCGACAATTATGTAGATGTATCTGGTTATTTTTATGTCAATAAGTGTACAAACATGGTTGTCCAAATACAAATTTACATTAAAAAGTTTCGTAACCAGAACGTTTCACCCCAAAACAGTATACACACGTTTTCCCCTGTGCATGTGGAACATTCTCCAAGACAGATCACATGTTAGGCCAAAAACAAGTCTCAACAAGTTTAACAAGACTGAAATCGTATCAAGCCTCTTTTCTGACCACAAGGGTAGGTAACTACAAATCAATTGCAAGAAAAAAATACTGCCAAGACACAAACACGTGGAAAGTAAACCACGAATGGGTCAACAAAAAATTCAAAGAGGAAGTGAAAAAATATAGAGAGACAAATGAAAATGGGAACAGAATGATTCAAAATCTTTGAGCCACAGAAATTCTAAGAGGGAAGTTTTCAGGGATTCAGGCCTAGTTCAAGAAACAAGCAAAGTCCCAAAATAATCTAACCTATGACTAAAGGAACTAGTAGAGGAAAAATCAACAAAACCCAACAAAGACCAAAGTTAGTAGAAGGAAGGAAATAAAGATCAGAGTGGGCAAGAATGAAATAGACTAAAAACCCAGAAAAAAAAAAAAAAAGTCAATGAAATCCAGGGCTACTTCTCTGAAAAGATCAACAAAATTGATAAACCTTTAACCAGACTCATCAAAAGAAAGAGTACTCAAATAAATAAAACCAGAAATGAGAGGGGAGACATAATAACCAACATGACAGAAATAAAAAGAATTACATAGCAATAAAGTGCACAACATAAAATGAATGGGTAAGTTCCTAGAAACCTACGATCTCTCAAAAGTGAATTAGGAAGAAACAAAGTTTGAACACATCGATCAGTAGTAATGAGGCTGAATCAGTAATCAGAAAAACTC